AGATCTTAGGAACTCTACAGATCAACCTACTTATTTTTGGTCCCAACAGATGGTCAGACAGATACTTCTGATTATTGTAACACATACAGCCCCTCTGGATGTTTAAAAGCCTGCTCTGTGTGCTGCACCAGGAATTCAGGGTGTGCTGTCTGGCTAACCACTGTGGGAGGGGCCGCCGCACACTCCCTCAGTTCCTATATTGCCTAATGATTACAGACAAACAAACGCTTTGTCTGTCTCCGGCTCTCTCCTCGCGGAGAACACGGAACCGCGGATCAGGACTCCACACTCACTTTGTAGCTATGCCACGTCTCAGTCACACAAAACACTCGCACACGGGATCCTACAGACACACAGCGGTTCTGCTTACCCTTCTCCTGCTTCTGACGCAGTCAGTAGCAAGTCCGTCCTGCCTCCCAAAATCTGGGATGTAGCGGGACACTGGGTTCGCCTACCCTTCACCTGCTTCCTGCCCAGTCATTAGCTGGTCCACCCTGGCTCCCAAATCTAGGATGTGGTGAAAACCCGGACTAACCCAATCCGCTCTCAGGATCACTAGCAGCCGCTCTATCGGTCAGCAAGTTCCTTGCTTGTAAGCCCTACCTGCCAAGGGGAACTACACTGTGCGCCAGACATCTCTGCACGCCTTACCAGCAGCCCTGGGCCATGCGTACGCCTTATAGGCCCCCTAAATTACTTAAATTCCAAGCATACTGTATTTCCACAGCTGGCACAGGTTGTTGTCTGCCCCCGCAGTGAGCGGACGAGAAGTGGAGGTCCTCCAGGCAAGCGGCCTGGATGTCCACCTCTCAGCCGATCCTGCAGCCGAACAGATGTCGCCTGGCTGGCTCGCCAAACGATGTGCGAATAGACTCCACAACTCGCTAAAGTTGTAAAGTAGGTATGCTTTTTATTCAGCGCTGAGGAGCATGGGGGATAACTTCTCCAAAAGCATGAGCACCTCAGCGTTGTTTCCCCTTTACATTTATCCTCTAAAGTTAGACATATGCATGAGATTGCACAACACGCCTATACATATTCATGTCCTATTCCCGCTTCATATTATAATGAGCTAAGAAGTCTTTTGCGCCTGCGCAGTGCCTCCTAGTGGCCGTGAGCAAGGGTCTCTAGATGAAGTAAATGAGTCTTCCTCGAGCTTGAACTTTTCACCTCTGGTTGTTATGCATGCTCCCTGGAGGCTTGGTTTTTGTCCAAAGCGCAGAGCCAATTTCAGCCGGCCTAGGTGTCCAAAGGACTGGAATCAAGTCACAGTCCCTACTTCTTAACAATAGCTATGTCCTTATATCTAGTTCTAGCATACACAGAGGCGTCCAAAGGACAGGAATCAAGACACAGTCCCTACTTCTTGACAATACCTCTGTCCTTTTAAAATAACACAGCAGTAGGAAAAAAAAATTAACTGACAGGATAAATATGCACATCTATTTCCAAAACTTAAAATGTTATACTTAAGTTTCTTGGGTGCCACCAAAGTATGAGAAGTTAGTATAGGTGATACACACTGTACTTTTTAATGTGCTTTACCATAGCTTCTAGATCATGATTGGCTTTAACAAAATAATTTTGCAGTATTAAATACTCCATATTGCAGAGGTAATTATTGTCTTATTTCTTGAAGTTCAGTAAGAATCCTTGAAGGACTTAGATATTACTAATGGAGAATCAGGAATGTAGTATACCTTTGGAATGTCACCATAAGTCCCAAATTATTTATTTACACTAACAGCCTCAAATTATTTAAAGCTAAAATCCTGGAACTGCTTAACGGTCATCCTGCCATCCACACAGAATCATAGAATGGTTAGGGTTGGAAAAGACTGTAAGATCATCTAGTTACAATCCTCCTGCTATGGGCAGGGACACCTCACACTAGACCATGTCACCCAAGGCTCTGTCCAACCTGGCCTTGAACACATCATGTTTTACTTCTTCAGGAGGAGAGAAAAGAGGGATGTATCCAAGCAACCATGGAGGTGTCAGCTCTGAAGGTACAATGCACTTCATTTCATGTGCTAATTGGTGTGGGACAGGACATCACACCCACCTGGAAGAGCTTTCTACCAAGTCCCTTTGATGCAGTTGGTTTTCTGGGATGGGAAGAAGCAGGGAAGCAAAGCTGAGTAATTTTTTTAATGAAGCTACTACCATCTACACACTTGCTACATATTAGATATACAAACTCTTCAGCTTTCTTCTGCTCTCTGTCACTGAGAATGTCACAGTGTAGATGCAACTGTGGATGGATTGATAAGCAAAGCCTTCACATACCTCTTCCCACAAGTCCAATATGTAGATGCAGATTTTACACTGTGACCAGCTGAGAATGTCATATTCCAAACACCTCATACAACAAGAAATGAATAGCCATACCTTTTCCACTTACCTGTCCTGGTAGATACAATCCTTGTATATTATACACTGATAAGCAAAAGTAGTTCAAATGGAGTAACAAAGAAAAGAAGCATGATTTAGAGGCTTTGAACTACAGCACTAAATTTACATTCATCCATGCAAATGCCTGCAGAGGGGCTGGGCCTAAAATTCACTGCAAATTGGGTTGGAAGAATACTCTCCCACAGAAACCCTACATGCCAGGTTATTACTGGAGTAACATCACTTGTATGCCATGCAGTAGTGCACTCAATGCATAGTTCACATAGAACTGCCAAACATCCATTGTTTTGAAATAACACAAAGATGATAAAAAAGCAGAATTTTTTAAAGATGAGTAGGAGCTAAACCAGCATTAGCCTGAGAGGTACTAGTTTTACTTCTCTCTAGAACTAATCCCAACATCTAAAGAAAACATGGACAACACCAGGCAAAGATCCTCTACACATAATACAGAACTGTACTGTTAACTTCTATGGGTCAAAGTTGTTTTTCACAGAACTCCCACTGGCTATTCCAGAGTCACAACAGCAATACAGTTGTATTGTGGTTTAAGCCCAGCTGATAACTGAAAACCATGCAGTCACTCAATCACTCCCCCCCTCCCCCCCCTTCTTCCTCCCCCCACTCCTGGAAGGATGGGGAGGAGAATCAAAAGAATGTAACTCCCACGGGTTGAGATAAGAGCAGTCCAGTAACTAAGGTATAATACAAAACTACTATTGCAACCACCAATAATAATAATGCTAAGGGAAATAAAAAGGAGAGAGAATACAATTGCTCTCCACTCACCAACTGATATCCAGCCTGACCTGAGCAGCAATCTGGGCTTTCTGTGTAATTCCCCCCAATTTATATAGTGAGCATGATGTGCTGTAGCATGGAATACCCCTTTGGCTAGTTTGGGTAATGTCTCTGCTTCCTTCCCGCTTCTTGTGCCCTCCTTACTGGAAGAGCATGAGACTGAAAAGTCCTTGATCGGGATAAGCATTATTTAGCAAGAGCAGTTATCAACACTGTTCCCAGACTAAAGTCGAAAACACAGCACTGCACCAGCTACTAAGAAGGAGAAAAATGACTGCTACTGCTGAACTCAGGACAAGCTGACATGCAATATCCTTAAAATTGCAAAGTAATGTGACAGATATTGCAAAATGGTGGGGAAAATGTCAATGACATATTCAAGTCATCATGTACTTCTGATAATTCAGCACCACACAGGAGAATGTAAGCACTGTTCACTTCAGAGGAACTCTGTGTCCCACACAGCAAAATACAGTTCTAATAGAGCAATGTCATCACTTAACTATGACCTTTGTTAAAGACTTTAAAAGACCATGACAAAGTAAACACTATGTGGAATCTGCCAGATCCTCCGCTTCTTGCACTTAAGACCCTACAGCTGATCATCAAGATCATCAAATGGAGACTAAGTCCAAACATGTCCAACCAACTGCAGCAGCAGTTCCAACTGGAAGGGGATCATTCCTGTCCTATCCCTCACACTGTGCTCCAGATGACCACAACACAAACAGCTGTTTCAGCAGAAAACGTGAAACCTGAGGAAGTGCTCCACACCGAGAGCTCTTGGGCATCAAGTCATAGTTGGGCTTTTTAGATGGTAGACTTCCACCCCACTTCCACTTACTGGAGCTGGATATTTAAACACCTGGGTCCAGTCTGTCTTATTTTTAATTTCTACCTTCTCCTTCCTCTTTTCTGGCACGGCAGGAATGGCTTGACTTGTTCTCAGTTTGGGCATTAGAACTGGGTGCCTGAGATCAAAATTTGGCCGGGTCTCGTGACTGCCTTCCAGCTCCTTCTTCTCTCCCTCCCTCCTACTGGACCCCGGACGGCCGTCGCCCGATGCCCCGCCACTCTCCCCGTGGGGCACCGCACGCCGGGCTGCGGGGGGGCCGGCACTACGACGGCAACCGCCCCACTTCGCATCCCGGGCCACCCGGCTGCGCCGCAGCGGGGCTCCCGCCAAACTTTGCCGCCCGACACGGCGCTGTGCGGTGCTGGGGGCCTGGCCCGGCCGCCGCCCCCCCGTGCTGGAGGTGAAGCAACCTGGCGCAGGCTCCTGCACTTGCACAGCGGGTGCAGAGCCGCCTCCAGGCAGCGCTAAGGCGTATTTTTTTCTTACTAATCTGCACATTCAGCACGTCCAGAGCGCCTATTACTTTATCTGGACTTTCTCCACTCTCCGGGCTCATGACACTGCGATCGCCTCCCCATCCTATCACTAACTCTCGCTCTCCTTCACTCCTTCCTCCTTCTCTCTTACAAGGCCTGCTAAGATCAAGCCCGATGGAAAGTAGAAAGAGGGAAAGAAAAAGAGAGAAGCAGAGGGAAGGGAGGGGAGCCGCTCCATCCTTCCCTCCCCCCACCACGGCGCACACGCCACCCCTTTTTCCCCCAGCCCCTTCCTTCGGTGATTTCCTCCGCTCTTCAGCAACTAGGGCGGCTTGGCGGAGCGACTCCCAGCTGCGGCACGGCTGCCCTCCGCGCCGCCCGCCCGGCGCACCTCTCCCTGCCGCCCCCCACACCCCCGCGATGCCCTGCTGCGCCCTGTGCCCCCCCGCTACCTCGTAAAGGTCCCCTGAAGCCATGCTGGGTTGCGGGACTGGGTTCCTTTGCGCCGTTTCCTTCTCTCCACCGCTCCCCCACTCGCTCTCTCTGTTGAGTAAACTGTTTTGCAGAATGACAGGCTTTGGGGCTGGCTGTGCGCAGAATCGGAGTCGAGCAGAGGCAGGCGGCGAGGCTGTCATAATCAGCAGCAGCTCAGAGCTTCCCCCTCCACGACCGGGTCCAAGACGGGTCTCCCCGCGCCCTCCGTCAGGGAAAGTCATGGGGCCGGAGAGCGACCTCCTTCCACCCCTCGCCCCGCTCCGAACCGGGAGCGCTTCAAACTCTTTCTGTGGCCAAAATACATAAATAAAAACTTGATAAAAACAACAATAATAATAAGGGGGGAGGGGGAGGGGGAAAGTAGTGACCGCGCAGCGGGGAGGGCCGTGCCGCCCGCCCAAGGTCCCCACGGGGAGAGGCGGGCGCAGGGCCAGATCCCAGCCGCCAGCGTCGAGTGGCCCTGCCGGCCACCTTTCTGCCCCGGTGGTTATCCCGGAGGTGGCGGGAAGCTTCTGAGCTCCCCCGCCCAAGGAGCGTGGTGGACTCCGGGGCCATCTCTCGCCTCTGCCAGCGCCCATCCTCATGCACCCTTTGCAGCCATTTTGACAATTAGCCAACCCTCTCCAGGAAATGAAAGCTACGGACATCCTGCCGCCTGGATTTCACTAGGAGGCACAGGGCGGCTAATGGTCTGAGGTGGTTGTGGACGTGGGGCAGTACAAAGCCCTTGTCCGTTGCCACGTTAGAGCCTTCTGGGCCTTTTCTCTGAGGGAAAGAGTGGCCCTATGGCCGCTGGCTTCCTCGTGCAGCTTCCCTGAATGAGGGCAACTGTGGCACTGAGCAAGCCAGGCATCATGTTGGTCTCCCGTCTGTCTTTATCCACCATCACTGCTGAATGCCTCCTGCTCAGGGATTCCCAGGTTGAGGAAGTATCCTCACAGCAGCTTGGCCATGAGTGAAGATGAACTAGCTCATCGCGAGAGGAAGCCCCGCTTTCCACCAGGCATGATGGAGTCTTGCAGAGACAGTTGCTGATGTGTGGCAAAGGGCTCTTAGTATGACACCCCAGCTGGTGTGAAACAAATGGCCGTGTTCTGGGGAGGCTGCTTGAGTATCAAATTGTGTTCCCATGGCTTCACGCTGTGAAGGATTTGTTTCTCCAGGTAAGGTGTTGAGTGTCCTCTGAATATTATTGTTCTTGATAGGAAAGAGTGCCATTAGGATTTGCTCTGACCAGCTCTTCATACCTTGGCTTTGTAGCCAGCCTGCTGTAGCTGTTACCAGCCTTTAGACTCCATGTTCTCATCTCATGGATCACCTGAAGTAACCATTCTCCTGGAGCCCTGGAGACACACTGAATGCTGTGAGGTTTGGCTTTGCAGTGGTCATGGCTTTTGTTTGTCTTCATTGTGTTGGCATTTTCCATCCCTTTGATTTCAGTCCTTTGTGTAGCGCTGCACTCCATGTTAATGTGGGACTTGGCACTGCCCTCACTATTATCTGAGTGGCAGGTTGTAGCCGGTTATTGAGTATTATATGGTAAGTCTCAGCATAAATGTTGCTGCTATTGAGTGCTGAATTATTTCTCAAATTTCATTTATGACCAAAAATCCCAGAGCAGTCTCAGTGGGGTGAAGCCAAAGAGTCTACTGACTGAGAGGATTCCTGTTTGAAATACTGATATCAAATATTTTGAATGTTGTCACTTTTTATCATGCACATCCATTTGCACATTTACACATGCACATCCAGCTCTTGATTGACCCCATCTCCTGAACTGTGAATATTACCTCTGGTGATTATGAACTTTCCAGCTGACCAGTTTAGTATTGACTTACAGTTCAATAAAAACTATCTTGTGGTAGTTTAGAACTAAAAGATGTTTATGGTTTGTGTGGTCTGCTGGGTGGTGTGTTAATGTTGCATGCCTAAGGACAAGCCACTCTGCTTATATAAAATGTAGCTTGTTTATTTATAGTCACTAACTGGAGAGTTGTTTTCTGCTTTCCAATTTGCCAGTGATATTTGGATGGTTGGGATTTGATATTTTAAGATTAAAATGTTGAAAGGATTGAGAAATACTGCAAACTACCCATGCTTGCAGCAATTTAAGTAATTAGTGCAGAAAAAAATTCTTAATTCCCAAGAAATGCATTACTTAATAATCACACCCCATGGTTTCTTCATGATAAATCAGTTATATTGTCTTATTGTAAAGTGACTTTTATTGTTTACATTCAAATCCAGTGAGTAACTTTTCAGATGCATTCTAAAATATTCTTTTTCTGAAATTGTTGGCTTTCTTCATCGTATCAAATTGTTCCAAAGGTGTCTTGAATGAACTGAAAAATAACCCTTTCCAAGCTTTAGAAGAATATATGTCTTTTCTTTTGAGACAGGTCTAATAATCAGACTGCACTTACTGGGCTTTGCTCTTAACTCCGCTTTCAGTGAGCTTAAATTAGAACCCACCCTGCACCATAATGGAAGAAATATTCATGACTTGGTATGTATTTTAGGAAATTTAATTTATATATATGATTGTTGTGGTTTAAGACCAGCTGGTAACTCAGAACCATGCAGCCGCTCACTTACTCCCCCCGCTTCTTCCCTCCCACTCACAGAGGGTTGGGGAGGAGAACCAAAAGAATGTAAATCCAAAAGGTTGAGATAAGAACAGTCCAATAAATAAAGTATAATACAAAACTACTATTACCACCACTAATAATAATGATAAGGGAAATAACAAGGGAAGAGAATATAAAACTAAAAGGGGAAAGGGGGGAAAAAACAATAAACACATGTGATGCACACCACAATTGTTCACCACCCACTGACCAATACCCATCCTGACCCGAGCAGCGATCTGGGCCTTCTGGGTGACTCCCCCCCAGTTTATGTACTGAGCATGATGTGCTGTGGTATGGAATACCCCTTTGGCTAGTTTGGGTCTTGTCTCTGCTTCCTCCTGGCTTCTTGTGCCCTCCTTACTGGCAGAGCATGAAACTGAAAAGTCCTTGATTGGGGTAAGCATTACTTAGCAAGAACTAAAAACATCGATGTGTTATCAGCATTGTTCTTAAACTGAAGTCGAAAACTCAGCACTGCATCAGCTACTAAGGAGAGCAATAACTGTTACAGCTGAACCCAGGATAATGGTACAGCATTTAGATCATGTTAACATTGTCAATATTGGATTTACAACACAAACAAATATTAGTTTGGAAGTCCTGAAAGGATGAATGCTTTAGTGAATACCTTGAAGATGGGAAACATCTTTTCCCTGATTAGTCATCCCTTGTTTTAGTGTACGCAGTCCCTTGGGATGCAGTGGTGTGTGAGTCAATAGTGAGGAGCAGAAAGAGGAATTTTGTGATTGTCAAACCCAGGAAAAGTTGATGGTGGTTTCAGTGCATTTCCTTGTTGTTTAGCAGAAAACAAGGTTTCAGGTTTTAAAAAGTCCAAGTGACCTTCATTTTCCCAGCAGGTTTTTATTGTAACTAGTCAAGTCATGCTGTACACCTCCAAGTCTTTTGGAAAAAATAGAAATATTTAAACTTATTACTATTAAAGAAAAATATTTCCCAATTTAATTGCCTTTAAATAAAAATATCTTTGCTCTGAAATGAAATTGCTGCAGAAATCCAGATTTTTGTGCAAATTATCAACTCTAAAGTCAGTATTTTTGCTAAAGATGTGATTATTCATTACTCTTATTGTTTCGCCACCTTCTATTTCCCATCCCATGAGAGCAATGCAAGGGAGGCATTCCAAGTGTGATATGTCACATTTGAGCACTTATTTTCATTTAGTGGATGCTTTGGTTTCTACTACTTTAATTACAGGAATTATCTCTGACTGTTTCAGAAAGCTAAAATACTGTTCTCATAGCTGTGCCATTGATTTGTTATCGATTGTTTAATCAGCCTGTCCAGTGCTATACAAATACTGTGGATACTCTACAGTCAATAATACAGTTCCCCCACGGAGGGTACAGTTGAGCAGTGCATTTTGGCAGTAAGCTTTATGAAAAGTGGCTGTAAAGGGCTGAATTGTCTGCTAAAGGGGAAGATGCGTGGTTTGGTAAATAGACAAATTGAGAGAATTCCTATACTAAGGTATGAAAATTAAATGAGAAAAAGGTGAAGAAAAGGCATGAGTGAGAGGAAGGAGAGAAGGACAAGGAACCAAAGGTGAATGCAAGGAGAAAGCTGTGCAAAGCATTGGCTGTGTGGAAAAATATGAGGCAAAAGGGAATATTTCAGCAGCAGCAACTGGAAGTGAAATCAGGGAACAGGATAACAAGATCTTTGTCTCTAACCAAAGAAGGGGGGATGACCAGAACATGGAAAAAGTCAGTGAAGGTGAAAATGAAAGAAAGTGTTTTAGTGAATTCATAAAGGAAGAGTTGACAGGAAGTGGTGAGTAGCTACAGCAGCAAGAGGAGAGCCACTTACGATGCTCTGTTCTGGCTGGGTGATAGGATAATGGATTTCCTAGGGCTTGGTACCGTGATGGTTGTGTACTCACCTGTTAGGTCTGAGAGAGAGCTAAAATACGCCAGGAAGCTTATCAGAAAAATTATCCAAGATGCGAAGTCAAATAAGCGTTGCAAAACAAGATGAGGACGTCCTTAGCATACATATATCATGTAAAAATTAGAGAATAGGTGAATGTGAAAGGAAAATAGGAAGGTGCCATTTTACTGAATAATGGATTTACATTATTGTGTGACAAGAAGAAGCAGACCTGGGAAAAGCCCAATATACTTTGCCCTGTGCCATGCTGTCTTTGAAAGCAAACAAGTAGTTGCTATCATTTGATTCCAATGCTAAATTAATCTCTTTCTCCAAACCCTTCTTTGGATCTTATAACATGCAATTACTTATCATCAAGAGGAAGCATTTGAAATAGAATCTGAAATACCACAGTATAGTGAAACAAACAATAATATATAGAAAACAAAGTAATGTTTGTTTGTTGGTGTACAGCATATGCCATGGAGCAGAACTCTTCAAGAGTTGAAGGTATATTTTAATGGCAGCTGTTCTGAAAACTGTCTTTACTTCTTATGACTTTACAATTCTGTTCTATTCTGTGAAGTATAACCAATATATCATGTACACCACTACAAGAAAAACAGGTGAGTACAGAAATGAACCTTCAAAAGGAGACTTTGCTGTCAAAACA